AGGTACGGAAAGGAGACCAAGCTGCTACGGGTGATCAACCAGATCTTTCCGACCGTCTTCAATTTCGGAGGCGAGGTGCCCCAGAGTTTCTCCGAGGCGCTCAGGAACGGGGCCGGCAGCCAACGAGGCCAATTCAAGATGCCAGTCCGACTGGAGTCAAGGCCGCGCGACAGGCGGCAGCCAGGCTGCCAGCTCGGCTGACGATGCAGATCCCAGCTCCGCGCCCCAGATGAGCCATGGCCGACGAGTTCTATCCAACATCTACGTACGAGGGCTCAGAGGAAAGCTACCCACAACCGACGGACGATTTCCCTGGAGCTGTTTGCCAGGGACGGCGGCATTGGTCGTTGTATAAAGGCCAATGGGGCTTACGGCATTCAGCCTGGACATCCATAACCACGCCCTCCAAAACCACCCCTGCCCTACCTTTCAGTCTGTGGTGAGGGGCTGGATTCGAGAAGACGTCGTCGGGGCTATCTGGTTGGGGACCCCATGTGCTACCTGGTCGATCGCAGACGGTCCGCTATCCGGGGCTCGGACCATATCCCCGGAGTCCCAGAGCCCATAACATCCCAACAGCTCCAGCTTAACATCGGCAACAACACGTATATCTTCTCTACTTAGGTTATCCGTCTCGCGCTACGCTATGATAATTGCGCGGCCTTCGAGAGAACCCAGGAGCTTCCACGACGCCGCGTGCGCCACGCATTCGTAGACTGCTGCGCGACGACGCTCGTGCCGCACACGTCTGCGCCACGTGCTGGTCTGGGGCCCGGTGGAAGAAGCGGGCACGCATCGCTGCGCGGAGCGCGGGCAGGCGTCCGGGCCCGGAACGCAGTCGCTCTGCTCGTGGGAAGGCTCGTTTTGATCCCACAGACCGCGCGTGAAGTGATCATGGCCAGCGCCGGGGAGGATCCCCCTGGGCTGCCATCGCAGCTTCCTACCCAAACCAGTTATGATGAGAGACCATTTTTAATACAACAAAAATATGTGTATATATACAAAACTCCAAGCAGATAGGACTCAACGAAACATTGGTGCGCGGCCTGCGGCCAGTTGACGGGTCGGCATCGGGCGCCGGAGGACCAGCACGCGCGACCCCGCCGCTGCCCTTCGCGAGCTCGGCTGCCCCATCCCCTCCTGAGGAGATAGTGCCCCCTTGCCCCGCGCATTAGCACGGCCGCCGGATGAGCGCCATAAGTGGGAGTGAAGGATACGGGGCTGGACATCGCTGCGGCTCGAGCTTCCACCCGTCGCTCACCGAGCGTGCGCCCTTCCCTGCTTGTCGCTTCCATTTTACGTATTCTAACTTGTTCTCTCTCCCAGAGGCGCTGGAGGATCGGACTTTGCGACTCCGCCGCTGCCCTTCGTGAGCCTGGCTGCCCGACTTCGTCCTGAGAAAAATGATGTTCCCTGGCCCCGCTTGTCATCACGGTCTCTTATCAGACTATTTCTGGTTGGGCCAGTCTTGCATGATCGCAACGGTGATACGTGATACGAACGTTGTCTTTGGCATTCGGCACGCTTCGCGCATCCCCACCAGGAATGCGGGTCAACCTGGCGCCCTCTCTCGCACAGGTACGCGGTGACCCGCGCCATTGTGGCTGCGTTGCGGTTTTGCCGCCTCCCCGCACTCGTGCGTACTGCTGCCTAGGGGTCTCTCGGCTTCCGGCCCCCTGGGATTTGCAGCTTGCCAACGCTCCCGCCTCCTGGCGACAATTCCTAGGCCGACGGTCCTTTGGACCACCCTGGTTCTCGCGCTTCGCCGACGATCGGGGCATCGCCTTTGCATTTCTCTGTCCTACCTCGACCGACGGTTCGTTGGACACGGCCTCCCTGGTGCCCACGCAGTCGTCTGGCGTGCGGCACCGAGTTGTCTCTCTCGGAGTTGTCCGTGGCCGTCGTTGACTTTCCGACGTTTGGCGCCTCCGTCGGACTTGCAGCTTTGCGCGCTGGCAGTTCCTGTCAGTCCCCGTCCCCTCAGCCACCCATCTGAGGCCTCGGCCGCCTTCTCGCGCCATGCTGGCTGCGTCTACCTCTGGCACGCGGTGTGCCTGTCCGCCACCGTTCTGCTCTCGTCTCCTGCGTCCTCTTCCTGGTTTTCGGCATGCGTGCCTGCACTGCTCCTCCCTTTTCGCTACCGGCGCGGCCCGCCTTCAGCACGCTCGGCGTTCGACCTGCTTCGCGCGCCCGCTAACCAAAAGTACCCCCGCCAGCCCGTTCAAAAACCCTGCTGGTCCAGCTTCCTGAGCACGCGCGCCCCTGCGGCGTTGACAACAGGAATTGGGCCAGGCGTGGTTCAGGAAGCCTCCAGCAAGCTGGCCCAGATTCCTGACACGATAGCGATCTTGATCATCTGTTGGGCTGCGGTTTCAAAGGCGGGTGAAGACGGGGGTCGCCCCGTGCAGGAGCGGGTCGTTTTCGGCGTCGGCGCGCCGCTTTCGACGTCGGCGCCATTTTCTCGAGGGCCCCGCCGCGGTTCTCAGCGTTCTCGCCGCCACGGTTGCACACAGCTCGACGAGTTGGGCGGGATGAATCTTCAGTCGGGCCTGTCCCTCTACAGGGGAAATATCTTCAAAAATAGTATGGGGATTATTCTTGTTAGCATTTCTTGACCATTTGAGATTATTTTTGGGGTATGTTTTATTTCTCGTCGAAAATCCTCCTGTAGAGGGGACACGCCCGACTTGAGATGAATCCCGCGTGGCGTCGGGGGAACGAGGTGCGAGGGGCGAAGCTTCGGGGACCGAGGCCGTGCGCCCCACACGGGGCGTCGCCTGCGGCGCACACGCCGGTCAAGGAGGGAGAGGAAGCAGGGATGCGGCGGGCAGCAGGGACGGTTGCACGACTGCCGTCGCGAGGGCTTCGCGCTCGCGGGGCGGCTGTCGGGTGATCGCTGTGGTCTCTCCCTGCCCTGGCCTGCGTCGCCTGTTTTCCCAGGCTGACGGTGTGATCGAGGGAGCGGAGCGGACGGTCGTAGGCGACCTCTCGCTTGTAATCCCCCAGTCCCCCCCAAAAAATTCGGGCCGTTCGGACGCACCTCCAACTAGGATGGACGCCCCCCCCGGTCGTATGTCCCCGAGCTTGACTAATTTGTTCGTCCAGCTGAACATCCCACACAAAGTCTGGGATTGAGGTTTCTATTGATTTCGTTGGACGGCAAGGAGAGGGCAAAAAGAATAACAATATGTGGGTGCGACCTCCCCTTCAAGATCGCCCGCAGACCTGTCCTGAAGCCCATTCTGACCAGAAATTCGAGGCGGATCCAGATGTGGCGACGAGAATGCCCCAAAAGGCCCGAAACCGTTCAAAGACCTTGGCCAGCTTCTTGAACCTGCATGGAGGAGGTCTCCGAGAAGTCCCCGAAGGCCCAAACATCCACCCCGCCCTTGAAACAAATCGCACATCCTTCTAAAAATGGCATAAACATAAAAACTCTGAGGTCCGAGCGGATTTCTCGGATCGGCGCTGGACCCCCCTCTCTGGCGCGCGGAGCGCGCCAGGGCCGGCGCCAGAGGCGCCGCCAGGGGGGTCCAGCGCGAATCCGAGAAATCCGCGCGGACCTCCGAGTTTGTGTGCTCATGTCATTGCTTGTTCCCTATATCAGACCCATGACGTCAGCATTGGCTTCGCAACGAGAACCCCCAGAGGTCTCGACTCCGCTCCCGCGTCGGGCTCTTCGTCCCGAGTCGCTTGCTTGGGTCGTCTTGACGCCCCTGGGCCTCGGCGAGGGCCCCGAGGGGGGCAGAAAGGAGGAGGAGGAGGAGGAGGAGGAGAGATGGAGGAGGAAGAGGAGGAGAGGAGGAGGGAGGAGGGAAGGCCGAGGAGGAGGAGGAGGAGGAGGAGGAGGAAGGCCGAGGAGGAGGAGGAGGACAAAAAAGAAAAACCCTCGTGGCCGGCCCCCGGGGGCCCCGTCCCGGGAGGCGCTCTTTGGCCAGAGGTGCTCGACGCAAGAGCCCGGCCGTGGCGACCGAGGGCAGGGAGGGAGGGGGGCGGCGCGGGAGGCGCCGCCGGGGGTGGTGGGCGGCTCCCTCCTCCTCCTCCTCCTGCTCCTCCTCCTCCTCCTCCTCCTCCTCCTCCTCCTCCTCCTCCTGCTCCTGCTCCTGCTCCTGCTCCTCCTCCTCCTCGTCCTCCTCCTCCTTCTCCTCCTGCTCCTGCTCCTCCTCCTCCACCAGGGGCGACGACGGGGGCGCATGGCCCAGGGGAGAGCAGGACGTGTATTGCACCAGCCTGGAACATATGCCTAGCCCTGTGATTGGCATCGCCTCGTCTCGATGCCGATCGTGGGGATTCCCTTCGTTTCTGAGGGCGCATCCCCAAGGTCGTCGTCGATGTTTGGCTTGTTGATCTTAGGGATAGGGATACGTTCGAGGCTGGTTAGTATTCAGGCGCGCCGATGACCTATGTTTTCGAAGAGGCTCCGGGGCGAACACGTGCAATGCCCGCCCCTGGGCTATTCGCCCCCGTCGTCGCCGCCGAGGATCCGAGGGATCTGCGCGGACCTCCGGGCTGTTGTGTTTCTGCCATGGCTCGTTCGCCTTAGAGGAGCCAGCAGGAGGCCCACGGAGCACGAAGAAGTCCCGCGGAGTTCGGCTCGAGGTTCGATCCTCGAGATTCGCGCGTCGGCTCCTCTGGAGGAGGCCCTCGATCTTTCAGGATCTGTTCGGAATCGGTCCCCAGATCCCTCCTGGGGTCCATCCTGTCCTGTTGTTCGAGCTGCGTGCAAACGCGGCAACCAGAGCATCCAGAAGTGCCCCGGAACTTCCGAAGCGACGACGCCGAAAGCGACGCCGATGCCGACGCCGAAAGCAACCGGCTCCTGCACGGGCCGATCCCCGCCTTCAAAATCCTTTCGGAGTGGGTCCCCGGAGGGTCCATCTTTTTGTCAGTTTGTCATCCCGGATCGATTCATGGACGTCCATGGACCCGAAGCGGGCTTGCAGTGGCCGAACACTGCAAGCCAAGGCATCGAACCCCGAACCTCGGCGGTCCTCCCGCAGGTTTCTGAACCTGCACGAGTACCAGGCGCAGATCATCTTCCAGAAGTACGGCGTGGGCGTGCCGAAGAACCTCCCCGCCTTCTCGGTCCCGGAGGCGGTTGAGAAGGCCAACAGCATGCCTGGCGACGAGGCCCGCGTCGCAGCGTCCGACACCAGAAACATTGAAAACACAACAGTTTGCACTGTTTTCATTGGTTTCCCACCTCGTTGTTTTCTTCCTCCTCTCGGTTGCCTCCGAAGTACCCCCCGTCAGCTGGGGCTGTGTTACTGAGGGCTGTAGCGCTGGGCCTGTAACACTGGGGCTGCAATATCGAGGCTGTACTGCTGGAGCTGAGTACTGAGGCGGTGGTTCTGGGGCCTGTAGTAGTCGGGCTGCAGCATTCGGGCATTTGCGTTGTAATATTCAACCGTCACAAATTGGTGTAATGTGTAATCCGCAACAAAAGGAATCCTGTTCTCATCCGCCTCAAAGGAAATCAGTGTGTGATCCGCCACAATGAAATCAATCTGTAATCCGCCACACAAAGAATCAATGTATAAACCGCCGCGACTAACAAAAAGAACATGAATACATAATATAATAAGCCTAAGAAACTAAACAAACAAAAAACAACAAAAAGGTGGCACACACACACACATACACACACGCGGTGTTATCAATCTTACTGGGTTGGGGGTGGGCTCGGGGGATACAAAACAGCACACCGACCACACGACTACAGATAACAGAGTGAACAATGAAAGGAAAGTTGCGCTAGCGTCTGGGCACTGCCGACTGCGGAGACATATGCGCCTCCAGGGGAACCAAGTGAGATGAGCCCGCACTGATCTGAATATTATATATTCTATGTTTTTCTACACGATTGTACCGGTCAGTTCGTTGCTCACCCGAGTCCCCACCCGAAACGACCCCTCGCTTCTCCCTTCAATGCCGTGTCCCCTTGCTGGTTTGCGCGCGCCTTTGCTCCCCTCCTTGGCCGGTCCAGAGCTCTTGGGAGCTGTATGCCCTTCGCACGGGGCCCTCCTCCACCCAGTGTTAAGTCGGGCCTGTCTACAGGAGGAATCCTCAAATATAGTCCAAAGATAGTCTGAGGACGATTTGTTTCATTTTTTGATTATGTTTGAGCATTTGGGAGGTAGTCTTTATTTTTCGTCCAAAGTCGGCCTGTAGGAGGAAATGTCCGACCTAACCCCGGTGGGATCAGGGGGGCGCCCGAGGCAGGCCGCGGGTGAGAGGACCCAGGCCCGGACTCCGTAACACCCCGCAGGGATACAAGGTTTTTGTTGTTGCAGTCGGCTAGGATCGCAGACTCATCCCGCCTTTGCCTTTGTTGTGCCTCCTCCTCCCCCTCCTCCTCCTCCTCCTCTTCCTCCTATTCCTCCTCCTCCTCCTGCTTCTCCTCTGCACTTCCTCCTCCTCCTCCTCCTCCTCCTCCTCCTCCTCCTCCTCCTCCTCCTCCTCCTCCTCCCAGAGGCCCCCTGAGGATCTCAGAGGGCTCTGTGGGGGGCTCCGAGGTCCCGGTAGCGCCCAGGGGCCTGGAACTTCGAGCCTTCCCCATCCTCCTCCTCCTCCTCCTCCTCCTCCTCCTCCTCCCTCCCTCCTCCTCCTCCTCCTCCTCCTCCTCCTCCTCCTCCTCCTCCTGATCCTCCTCCTGCTTCTCCTCTCCTCTGGATACCTCTAGAGGCTTCAAAGAGGCCCAAATATTCTTATCCTCGAACGCCCCTTCTCCCTCCCCTCGAGGAGACGACGGAGGGGGGAAGGAGCGAGGAGCAGGAGGATCGAGGAGGGCAAGAGCCGAGCAGAGGGAGGAGCGCAAGAGGGCCGCGAGGTCGTCGTGAAGGCGCAGGTGCTGGCCGGCGGCAGGGGCCTCGGCCACTTCAAGGAGAACGGCTTCCAGGGCGGGGTGCACATCGTCCCCAAGGGCAAGGTGCCCCCCCCCCCCCCCCCCCCCCCCCCCCCTCCCCTCGTCCCAGGTCGGCCCGCTCTGGCCCGAGGCCCTCACTGCTTTGCTTCCCCTCTCGAGCCGAGGCTGTGCGACTCGGACGGCGGGCCCTGGAGAGGAGGAAGCGGGCTGGGCTCGCCGATGGGTTCGATGAGGAAGAGGAGGCTTGGCGTTTGTCGGTTGCACGTGAACTTGTTGACCCTCGTCGGTCGGCGTGGTGATATCCATCGTCCTGGAAGTTTTCGGGCATGGGCGTCGTCGTCTCCGAGGCAGAGATGCGTTCCCGATGTCTTGGGATCCGGGTTTTGTCGTCGCCACAGCTGGGCGCACCTAGAAAAATGAGCCGGGGTGGACCCTGGGAGGGGGTTGGGGGCCGACTATGGTCAAATTCTGAGTAATCGAAGACCCTCCACCTATACTCCTCCTCCTTTTCCTCCTCCTCCTCCTCCTCCTCCTCCTCCTCCTCCTGCTGTTCCTCCTGATCCTCTTCCTCTTTGTCCTCCTCCTCCTCCTCCTTCCTCTCCTAATCCTCCTCCTTCTCCTCCTCCTCCCCCTCCTCCTCCTCCTCCTCCCCCTCGTTCCTTTCCTACATAATTAGATCGCCCCCCGCCTCCTCCTCCTCCTCCTCCTCCTCCTCCTCCTCCTCCTTCCGCTTCTCCCTCTCCTGATCCATCCTACCCGCCCTCATGTTTCTCTGATCACGTCTCCTGTCTCCCTAATTACCCAAATTCTCCCTCGACCTCACCACTCTCGCCGATCACCTAATTCCTAAGATTACCTCCTCCATCTTTCTGTTCCTCCTCGCCCTTCTCCTCCCTCATCAGCCTCCCTCCCCACTAGACCTTGCTTCGGTCCAGTATGAGCATCTTCTTGGCTTCTGCAAAACCCATAGTAGATGCATACTACACACCACATACGGGTTGGGCATCTTATCGTCGGCGTGTTGCGGAGCGCGTCATTCCAAATTGCGCGAAGTCGTGTTCAAGCTGTCGTGCCGATCGCGTGTTGGATTGGCAACGTGTTCGGCACAGCGCGCATTGCTTGCAATTGTCGCGAGATTTGGCCTGTCACGGGTGCAGAGTCACCATGATTGCAAATGCGTGATAGGAGATTGCCCGTAGATCGCATCAGTGCCGTTCGCAGTGAGACAATGTGAAGGCATGGCCGCGGATTCGAGCTCGGACTCATTCATCAAAATTATTGAATCGTTTCGCTCATTCTGCCAGCCCGTATTGTGCCGTCGCAGGCATTTGCCCACTCGTTCGTGGCCTCTTGGGGCCTCTTTGGGGCCGTTTGGAGGCCTCTCGTTGTGGGCCTCGTGGGGGCCTCGTGAGGCCTCGAGTGGGCCCCCTGGGCTCTCCCGGGGGGCCCTCGGTGCCTCCTGGGGGCCTGTTGGGGCCGAAGGCTCCAATTAGTGGTTCGTATTCCCCCTCATGGGCACTTCTTCGGGCCGTCTTGGGACCCTCTTGGGCGATCTTGGGCGCCTCTGGGGCCGTTTTGGGGCCCTCTTGGACCGTCTTGGGGCCCTCTTGGGGCCCTCTTGGGGGCCTCTCTGGCCGTCTTGGGGCGGTTTTGGGAGCCTCTGGGGCCATATTGGAGCGCCGAAAACGCGAGAACGCGAAAAACGTTCAAAAGCACAAGAATAATGGATGATTTGTGTTTCCTCGCGTGGTTCGTAGGGTCACGGTGCTCTTCCCAGCCGCGTCCCACCCTCGAAGCTCTCTCTCTCTCTCACACACACACCTCGCTTCCCTCCTCTTCTCCTCCTCTCCCTTCCTCCCCTCACCCACGCGCAACACATGCACGTCACGTACATGAGACATGCGTCTACATACAGCCGCAGGCATGCACACATTCGCAGACACGCACTCGCGTGCGCACACACACACACACACACACACACACACACACACACCTAGTGCACACCTGGCGCGTTCACTGCATCATCCACCCAGTACGCGTGCACCACGTACTGGGCACCCACATGAGACACATGGGCACCCACATGGGCCACGTCGTGACTTATTCTTCTACCCACGTCGCACCCGCGTTCACCTTCACCGACTCCTCCCCCTTTGCATGTCTTTGCCACCAGTCTCACCGCATTGGGCACACACACACACCCACACACGCTAACACACACACACACACACACACACACACACACACACACACACACACACACACACACACACACACACACACACACACACACACACACACACACACACACACACACACACACGCACGCACACGCACGCACGCACGCACGCACGCACGCACAACAACACACACACCAAACACACACGCGCGCGCGCGCGCGCGCGCGCACACACACACACACACACACACACACACACACACACACACACACGCGCGCGCGCACACACGCACAAACACACACACACACACACACACACACTCCACATACTTGGCACCCACATGAGACACACGTCCACATACAGCCTGACACACATCATACACATGACACGCACACCACACAACACATACTCTCGCAAGATTCGCAGGGCGTGGCAGGCGTGGCGTTTTCTCGAAGCCAGACAGTGTTCTCCACACCACAGGGGGTGCCTAGGGGGTGGTCCCTCTCCGTGGTCTCTATCCGTCCCAGGGTCGCGGGGCGTGGCAGGCGTGGCAGGCACAGTTTTTTCTCCACAGCACACGGGGTGCGCAAGGGGTGGTCCCTCACCGCAGTCTCTCTCCGTCCCAGGGTCGCGGGGCGTGGCAGGCGTGGTATTCTCTCCACACCGCAGGGGGTGCGCAGGGGGTGTTCCCTCTCCGTGGTCCCTATCCCTCCCAGGGTCGCGGGGCGTGGCAGGCGCGGCATTCTCTCCACACCACGGAGGGTGCGCAGAGGGTGGTTCCTTTCCGTGGTCTCTATCCGTCCCAGGGTCGCGGGGCGCGGCAGGCGCGGCATTTTCTCCACACCGCAAGGGGTGCGCAGGGGGTGGTCCTTCACCGCGGTTTCTATCCGTCCCAAGGTCGCGGGGGGTGGCAGGCGTGGCATTTTCTTCCCACGCCACGGGGGGTGCGCAGGGGGCAGGGCTCGTGGCTGCATTCCATCACTTGCACTAGCGCGTTAGGCTCCCAAAGCTGGACAGGCGTCGCCAACGGCATCAGCGGGACAACGGCCACCAGCATCATTTTCGCAAGTTCCCCTTCAGCTATCATCCTGCCAGACCGACTACAAGTATGTGGGGTTTTACGGTTTTTCGGTTGCGTAATTTGTTTGGCCCTCTTTGGGGACCTGTTGGAGCGCTCTTTGAGTTTCTTTGGGGGCCTCTGGGGCCGGCGGTTTTGGGGCAATCTTGGCCATTTTGGAGTGACTCATTGTGACCTCGGGCCTTCTCGTACCGCCTTGGACGCCTCTTGAGATATTCTTGGAGGCCCTGCAGCCAGCCCCAAGGAGGTTCCGCATCTGTGACGGGGCCCGGCCGGGATTTCCGGCAGGTAGATTTCGTCTGGGGACCCCCAACATTGCTAGTTCTTCGTCTAGTGTCGACTCGATTGCGACATTGCTAGATTTTTCTCTTGACTACCAGCTTGAGGAGGATGGCGCATGGAAAGGGGACGACGGAGACGACGACCGACGGAGACGATGGCTCGGACAGACGAGCCCCTCACGCACGCCGACGGGGTCGGCGGACATGTGGCCGCCGCTGCGCTCCCAGCGTCCTCGGGCCGATGTTCGAAGAAGAGAGGTTGGCATACAGTCGGGGCCCTGAAGAAGGAACCCTTTTCGTGGGGGAGGGGCTCCGTGTTCCTTTATTGTTTCGCAGCTTGCCTTAGGTTTTCCTAGGTTTTCGATGTGAAATCGAAGTTTAATTTATGGAAAATAGGGGCCTCGTTCCTTATTTAGGGTTCCTTAGGTCAACGCCCCGACTGTACTACAAGCTGGAGGTCCACGCGGACTTCTGAGACCAGCGCTGGACCCCCCTGGCGGCGCCTCCGGCGCCGCCCCTGCTGCGATCCGCGCGCCAGGGGGGAAGGCCCTGCGCCGATGCACGAAGTCCGCGTAGACCTTCGAGAGATCATGCTTCTGCTGACTGCTTCCCTTTGAATGCACTACCAGGGATAAACCCGCACTGGCCCGCAAGATTCGAACAACGACGACGACGACGACGACGACGAAGACCTGTGCGAGGTCTCGGAGTTCGCGGAGAAGATGCTGGGAAAGACGCTGGTCACCAAGCAGACCGGGGCGGAGGGCAAGCCCAACAACACCCTGCTGCTGGCGGAGAAGGCTGCCCCGTCCTTCCCCCTCCCCTTCGGAGGTCTCGTGGGCCTCGGGGGACCCCCCTGCTGTGGAAGGAGGAGGAGGAGGAGGAGGAGGAGGAGGAGGAGGAGGAGGAGGAGGAGGGGAGGGGGAGGGAGGAGGAGGGGAGGAGAGGAGGAGGGAGGAGGAGGAGGAGGAAGGAGGAGGAGGAGGAGGAGGAGGAGGAGAGAAGGAGGAGGAGGAGGAGGGGGAGGGAGGGGGAGGAGGAGGAGGAGGAGGGAGGAGGAGGAGAGAGGAGGGAGGAGGAGGAGGAGGAGGAGGGATGAGGAGGAGGAGGAGGAGGAGGAGGAGGAGCAGGAGCAGGAGGAGGAGGACATGCTCTCAGTGCACCCGAGCGGGGGGCGCGAAGCCGTGGCGGCGCCCACGAGAGAAACGTTGTCGCGAGGGGGGGGCGGCCTTCGGAGGAGGCGGCGGGGCGGCGAAGAGGGCAGGCGGGGACCTGAGCTGCCTCGATACGCCCGTTTTGATACGCAACACGTGCCGTGTTCAAAACGTCCGTGTCAATACGTTGCGTGTTGGCTCAACGTATCGGCCCACGTTTTGGCGAACGTATCGCGTCAGACCTGCGTGTTCAGTCTACGTGGTGAGCTCCGTATCGATACGCTACGTGTTGCGTGTTGCGTATCGGGGCAGCTAAGGCGGAAGCCCGCCCGGCCTCTCGGGAAGCTTTCTGAGAAGCTTCCACGGGGCCTTCTCGGAAGGCCCTTGCCTTCTGAGAGATCACCGAGCGCGTTCCACTACGGTCCCGTTCATGATTAAGAAACCTCCCCCCGAAAAGTTGGCCCAGTGTTGCTTAACCAACTTGCCGGAAAGCTGGCTCAGTTTCTTAAGGGGATTGGTAGCCTTGGACCCTAGAAATGAATAGTGCACGTTCCTGGCTCCAAAAGCTAGCCCAGCGTTTCCTGAAGAAACTTCTGAAAAGCTGGCCTAGCTTTCTTGATTGATACCTTTCTTGATCATATGTTTGACTGTACTCGCAAAGTGCCTACTCGCAAAAGGTCCTAAAAACGAACGCCTGCCTCGACGTAATGTATCACAAGTCCCCCGCGGCGGATCCGGACCATTTGCAAGCAGTTCCTTCGCGAGTGGTGGAACGCGCTTGTCTAGAGAAGCCCTCCCGCCTTCCTTGCAAGACGCCCCCCCCCCCCGCGCCACCCTTTTCCTGGGCGCCGCCGAGAGGTGCCCGCGCGTCTCGCATCGCGGCTGGGGCTGGGGGAGGCGCCCTTCTCGGGGGCGGCGGCGCGAGGGCGCGAAGGCAGCCGCGCATCGAGAGGAACGAGGCGCGAAGATGGCCGACCTGGACTCTGCGTTTGGCTCTGCGCGAGGGGGGGGCTTCGCGGTTCGAACTTCGAGGTTCTAGGTTTTCCGGCGTTTTCGTAGTTCCTTGGCGGTTTTCCGCCCTCGGGATGCGTTCAAGCGGCTGCGCCTCGCCAGGGGCGTTCCGAGGGTGCCCCGATCGTCCCGAACGCCCGCCGGAGACCCGAGTTATGACCCAAAAACCAAATTCGATGGCGAGCGAAGGGGGGAAGTGAGAAGGAGAAGGCCTTCTCAGAGGGCGGCGGGGCTTCTCGGAAGCCCTCCGGCCTCTCTGAGAAGCGCTCTGCAGCCTCGGGGAAGGCTCCGAGAAACGTTCTCCGAAGGCCCCGGGGGGGACTTCCGAGCCTTCAGAGAGGGCCCGCCCCTCCTCCCTTCCCCCCGGGCCCGCCGCCCATGCTTGAACGCAAATGTGTGACGTGTGCAGGTCCTCGTGGATCGGGTCGGCACTGGCCCCCTTGGCGGGGTCCCCCGCCCGGCTCCTGGCTCCCTGCGCGGGCCCACCGAGGGGGTGCCGGTGCCGACCGATCTTGGAGCCATCTGTCGACTAGACGTAAAGAGTGACCTTTCGCCGGAGTGACCTGTGGTGCGGGCACAGATAGGTCCCCAGATGGCTGGAAACGAAGCAGGAACAGCGGCTTGCGCGCCCAGGTCAGGTCCCCCCGCGGCCCCCCAAAAGCCGCGCACCAAAGGTCACTCTTACCCAGGGTCACTCTTTCGTGTAGCCGAATCTTGGGCGGGGGGTCCGTGGTGGCCCAGCACTGGTGCCGGCCAGCAGAAAGGGCGGGCAGGTTCGAGGTTCTGGGTTCGGGAAAGTTTTTTGCCTCTTTCGGCCTCCGCGGGCCGTTTTGGGGCCCCCAGGACCGACAAAAGCGCATCTGGGGTGAAAAGCTGCACCAGCAGATGGACCCCGGGGTGGGTCCAGCCAGGGGCCGATTTTGAACGGAGTTGGCCTCATCCTTGCCCTGGCCGATGTTCTGGAGCCCAAACAGGTCAGACCCCGGGGCCGTCCCCAAGACAGATATACGATCAAGTCCGCTGGAACGAGGACCACCCTGGGCCTCAGCAGGGGCTCTGATGTCCGGGCGGGCCGCTCCTGAGAGTCTGGGACCGGGAAGCTGGTTCGTGGCCGAGGCTGGCCGTGGCCAGAGACGATCCCTCGTTCGTCATGTGGCGATATGGGGTTCCTCGTGGTACCACGATGACTGCAGCCTCGTTCCAGGTGCCCCCCCCTTCTGTCCGCCCCGAGGAGGGAGGAGGTGCGAGGCGTTCGCCTGCAGTCAGACGTTGCCGGTGCGTGCCTTTGGTCCTGGGAGGTGTGCGGAGGGAGCACGGAGGGAGGGAGGGGAGAGGGAGGGAGGCGGAGAGGGGGAGACAGGAGCAGGCGGAGGAGGAGGGAGGGGTCGTCGTCGAACGTCGGATGAAGCGTCACGCTGTTCTCGCACGCTGGGGGTTGGCTGGGGGGCGCGAATACCACCTCGGCCACACGCCCACCCAGCCCACGAACGGCAAGCCGAAGTGGGCTGAGGGACAAACAGCCTGGGGGCGCCGGCCACTAAGGCAGGCAGCCGAAACAGCGCGACAGGGGAAAAACCGAGCAGGGCCAGACTCGCGAGCAACTCGGGAGAAGATCCCGAGAATCCGCAGCCCGAAGGGCGAGTGGGGCTCGCAGCGACGACAGGGCGCGCGCCGACCCAAGCCGAGGAGGGAAGGGGGAAGCCGGGGCGAAGAGGGGGGGGAAGGTCTCTCTCTGCCTCGCGTTGGGGGCCCGTCGGAAGGCTCCCGGCCGCGCGGAGGGAGCGTCCCGCGGGTCGGGCATTAGTAACTAAGCTGCCCGTCCGCGATAGTTCGTGCCCGTGCCGCGCGGCCCGGCCGGGCGGGCGGCCCAGACGGGCCTCCTGCAGGGCGGAAAATGAGAAGGAAAGAGGCGGCAGAGGGCAAAAAGGCAAAAGCGAGGCCCTACTCGCCCAAGTGGACCCCCCACATGCAGCAATGCGCGCTGAGGATGCAGCAGAATTGGCCACTGAGGGCCGTCAACAGCGACGACGAAGACGCAGCTCGGCCTGAAACTGTCAATGCAGGAACTGGCACGTGCAGCTGGAAGGTAGCATCCACAGGTAGAAGCAGAGAGAGAGAAATCATCCAGCAGCGCTAACCGTTAATCCGCGACGCACGATCACAGAAGTGAGAACGGACACCGCAAGTGGAGAACGCCAAGACCATGCAAAGCCCGGCAGAGAGGCAACGGGGTACTCCAGATTTCGTAATAAAGAGAGGGGGGTCTCATTTCGGGGGGGGTCTCTTCCAGGCTATCTTGGAGGGCCTGGGGAGGTCTGGGGACGATGTTTTGGAGGGTTCTCCCACGGGGGAGGTCTGAAATGGCTTGTCTTGGAGGGTCCAGACCCCCTCCCTTTTATTACGAAATCTGGAGTAGCTCTCGCCATATAAAAGAAGCAGCAGCAGCAATTCCGGTTGGCGAGGGGAGCCTAAAGAGCGCGGGGAGCGAACGGGGGCGACCCGCGACGAGGGGGGCAGGGGAGAAGGCAGTGCTGGCCAGACCTACGAGCACCGAGACAGCGGGCACAGTGCTAGAAGGGCGCGGCACAGAAAAGAAAAAAAAAAAAAAAGCCGCAGAGCACAGGGGCAAGGTTGCCCACCAGCTCGCAGAGGCGAAGGGGGGCGACCCCCACAAGCCTACAGACAGCGAGCGAAGACCTAAGAGGACTTGCTTTGAGACTCTGGAAAGATGTCTGGGTAGCGGCGCGCAAACCACTCTGCCCCACGGTCCTGCTCGCCGGGCACCGCGACTGAATCCAGCACGGCCTGCAAACGAATCCCTTGCCCGTTTTGCAGAGACGACCCTCTGGCCAACGACCTTCGTGACAGCGGGCGCCACAGTAGGCGCAAGTCGGGGGCACGCTTTGAAGCATGCATGAAGTGCAGGGTAAGCCTCTGCTGTTGGAGCGCACCACTTGCGAGATTTGTCCGTTTGACAAGTCCTGCAGGACGGCGGGCGAGCGAAAGAAAGGTCGTCCTGGCATGCGGGACCCTTCTGGTGAGACTCTGCAGAAGAGTGCGAGCTCGAGCAGGCGGGCAGAGACGGGCGCTCCTCTGGCGGCGGAGCGTCGTACTGAACCACCGCCTCGAAAGAGAGGCCCGCCGCACGAACGGCCACATAGGCATTGATGTCCCCATCTGGGCAAGGGGTGGAGAGCGCGCGCACGTGGTCGTAGTGGCTCTGCTGGAGCCAGTGCCGAGGGGAGTTGCGCGTGGAAGAGAATGAGTCGCCCTTCGCCCTTCCAGGGCTGCGGGGGGGGCAGGCAGAACGTGGCGGCGAGGGCGATCCAGCGCGCTCCTGCTTCAACTCGATGCGTCTAAGCTGCGCGGCGATGTTGCCGACTGGCCTGCGAGGGGACCTGGAGCTCGAACGGGGACGACCCAGGGGGCCATGTGTGCGGGGGCCCGCTTGGGCGCGCTAGCAACGGCAGAGGAAGAGGACCGGGCAAACACGTCGCTTTGCCCGGGTAACCCACTGCGGAGACCGATCGGAACCGTCCAGGACGAGGCTCGAGGGGCCGCGGCGCACACTTGTGGCAGCGGACGGAGACGTCGGGACGAGCAGTGGGCCTGTGCACGGTAGAGCGTGGTGCAGGACGAGAGTTGGGGCCAGCGGCAGCGACGGGAGAACCAGCATTGCAGGACCGCCAGGTGCGGCGCCAGGAGATGCAGATGGGGGCCAGCGGCAGCAGCGGGAGAGCCACTACTGCTGCAGCGGGAGAACCAGCATTGCAGGGCCTCCAGGTGCAGCGCAAGGGCGCCCTCGAGGTCGCGAAGTTATTCGCGCTTCGCGGTTCGGCTCCAATTCCTCCTCGTCCTCCTCCTTCTCCTCCTCCTCCTCCTCCTCCTCCTCCTCCTCCTCCTCCTCCTTCTCCTCCTCCTCCTCCTCCTCCTCCTCCTCCTCCTCCTCTTCTCCCCTGGGAGGCGGCGCGAGAGCGCGAAGTTTTTCGCCTTCGAGCAGCGCGCAGCCGCGAAGTGGGTGCCCTTGCCAGGACGTGGGGGGGGGGGGCCGGCGGCGGCGGGGGAGGCTGCCTCGCCCCACGGCGGCCGGCCTCAGCGGGGGCGACGCGCCGTGCCCGAGCGGGAGGTGGGCCAAAGCTTGGAGGGGTGCAGCACGGCTGGTTGCGCCGGCTCGCCTTGGGGGGGAGGGATGAGAGGAGGAGGAAGGGGAGGATGAGGAGGAGGAGAGAGGAGAGGAGAGGAGGAGGAGGAGGAAGGAGGAGGAGGAGGAGGGGGCGAGGAGGAGAGGGGGAGGAGGAGGAGGGAGGAGGAGGATGATGACGATTTCGGAGGGCGGAGAAGGAAGTGCGAGGGAGGAGAGGGAGGGAGGGGGAGGAGGTGGGAGAGAGGAGAGGGAAGGTTAGGGAAGGTGAGGTTTGAGAAGGGAGTAGGAGGATAGAGGTGTCCATCGCCGACGAGAAGTACTTCGCCATCCTGATGGACCGCGGCAGCGGTGGCCCCCTCATGATCGGGAGCAAGGTAGGCGGCACGTCGATCGAGGACATCGCGGCCGCGGACCCCACCGCAATCATCAAGATGCCAGTGGACATCATGACTGGCATCACCGACGAGGTGGCATCCAGCATGGCCACCCAGATGGGGTGCGCGGAGGAGGAGAAGATGTTTACACCGCTGCCCCCTCTCCGCCTCCCCCCATGTTCGCTTCTGTGGGCGTTCCAGGGCCTTCGTCGCCACGGCCAGGTTCGCCTCAAAGTCTGGGCCAGAGCGCAAACCTGGACAGGTCTGGAGAGAGACGGTATCGGCATCTGTTTGCTGTTACCCTCAGGTATTCTGGCGATCAGAACAAGGATCCGTTGAAGTCAGCGCCGATCGACCAGTACCCATCCCCATCGGTTAAACGTTTACCCGCTGGCCGACCGACCTCCCTAGATGGGGATATCTGCAGTTTCCGTCGGGCTCCGTGGCACTTATCCCCGCGCAGAGGCGGTAGGCTGGTGGCGTGAACGAACTTTGGCCCGTTAGGGATAGGGATATGTGCAGCGATATTGATGGAGGCAAACGCACGCCGCCACCGGGCCAGCTCAAGGCCCTTTCCGCAATCGGCTCCCAGCCAGGCCCAGGAAGCCACGTGCAACAGTGTCTGGCCCGAAATGCGCTCGGGCCAGCCTGGTGGTGTGTGGTGCATGTCTGCCTGCAGCACCGAGGAAGCGACGGCGCTCATCTCGAATCTGTACAAGTGCTTCATCGGATGCGACTGCACCATGCTGGAGATCAACCCGCTGGCGACGCTCAAGGACGGCCGCGTGCTCGTCTGCGACTCCAAGGTCAACTTCGACGACAACGCTGAGTTCCGCCAGAAGGAGATCCACGCCCAGAGGGACACGTCGCAGGAGAACGCCATGGAAGTGGAGGCAAAGAAGTATGACCTGAACTACATCAAGCTGGACGGCAGCATTGCCTGCATGGTGAACGGCGCTGGCTTGGCCATGTCCACCATGGACTTGCTCAGCATTTTGGGCGGCAGCCCTGCCAACTTCCTGGACGTCGGGGGTGCCTCCACCGTCGAAACCATGACCGCCGCTTTCAAGATCATCATGGGCGACCCGAACGTGAAGTCCATTTTCGTCAACATCTTCGGTGGCATTGCCCGCTGTGACCACATCGCCGAGGCTGTGGTTGCCGGCGTCAAGGCCGTGGGCGGCAATGATGCCATAAAGCCGCTGGTGATCCGCCTCGAGGGCACGAACGTCGAGGCTGGCATGACGATCATCAAGGACAGCGGTGTGAAGTGCTTCCTGACCAACGACTTCACGACGGGTGCGAAGGAGGCCGTCAAACTCGCGGCCGCCTGAGCAGAAGCTGGGGCATCGCGTCCCGCGCGGACATTGAGAGTAGCGCCCTCGCGTGAGTGTGTGGTTCAAGCCTGTAGCGTCTTGTGCAGCAGGTGATATTCAAGTCGGTGCCAGTACTGCTAGTGCGCATCGTTTTGAATGCGTCGCCTCGTCCTTGCCATACGACGTGTGCTGTGTGTGTGTGCCCCGACAGGCCAAGCGCATCGAGCGGCACCGGAGATGCTCGTACCCTTCGCTGCACGGGCCAGGGCTGATTCGAGCAAACCCGTAATTTTTTTGGCTTTGATCTCGTGAACGCCCTCTCCGAGACTCCGAGATTGGCGCCGCCGTGGATCGAGAGTGGCAAAAAACGAAAGGAGTGCTGGCTGCGTGCGACTCCGCACACTGTTATATCATGTACATACGATGCAAGGCCTTGCTATGAGCAACGTGGGTGCACATGTTTC